TAAATATTGTTCCAGGTGAAAGTGTTGAAAAAGTGAAGAATTACCGTGAGATTAGAATTAGTGATTTTTTTTTTTCAACGTTGGATCTGATCTTCTCTTGTCTCGGTAACGTTGTTTCGGTTCAGGGGATTGCTGCCAGACATTGTATAAAAATTCCAGCGATCCGAGGGAAAACAGGAGAGGGCTGCTCGGGGTAAACTCAAAGAGTGGTTGCTACCTGTTTTTTCTCCGAGGCGCTATCTCTTATCCAGGCCCGTCGTTAGTTTTCCTAACGTCGGCGGAAAAGACGGCTGCGTGTTACGAAGCCTCTTTATTTGTCCGGCGTACACACGCTCTTTGTCTCCTCGTTTCTATTTCCTTTCCTGGTAACTAATTTACCGGGAATTACGATGGATTCATCTTGCGGATATTGTCGAACTATTTTTTGTGCTGTGACGCTGTTACATTTCTTCGATCTTGGATATTTCTCTTTCAGTGGGAAAAAAATAAGAAACTTCCGATTGGAATTGAATTAGGACGCTTCCTGTCTCTGGCTCGTCCACTCGAGATCAATTGTTTTTTTTTACAAATCATTACATTTCGATGTTTATTTCTAACGAGATTAACTCGGAGACAATCGAGGCTGCTGATCGAAAATTTCACTATGGAGACGGAGGCAAGTAATTTCATTTTGGAAATGAAGCGTTATCGTTGTGTTGGGTGTTATACGGACACAACACTGAACGAACAGTTTAAACAAATGAAAAATCATATCATCAAAAGGTTAAAAAAATCCTCAGAAAATTTAGAAGATTGATCCCTTGCCTAAAGATTTCTTTAACACATAGATATTCCCAGTAAAAGAATTAAAACCACCGTGCACTGCAAGCGGCACAAAAATTTCCACAAAAAACTTTTTTATTACCCAAATCTAGCAACAGGAAATAAATTGCCATCGATCCCTGCGATATTAATTGCAAATCTATAAAAAAATAGTAGCAGCTTCGACGTCGGTGTAAATTGATAAAACCGAAACTTTTTACTAATAGTGTATATTAAAATTAATCATTCGTCCCAGCCAAAACCTACTATGCACTTCAAGCTACGCAACAATTTCCAGAAAATCTTTTTTATCATCCAAATCTAGTGAAATGAAATAAATTGCTATTGATCCCTCCAGCGGTAATTACAAATCCGATCAACATCGGTGTGAACTTTTAACAATTACAATTTATCCTTTCGGAACCTTGCAAACGATATCTCCGTGAAAAACCGAAAATCCGACTGCGGGGAAAACCTTGGACGGTGAGCGGGGCCTAATCGAAAAGCCGATGGCAAAAGGTCGAAGCGCGAAACACCGTGGAACAAGGGCGAAAGGCGCGGGTGGAATAGCGGTGGCAGGCAGGTAGAAAGAGGGGTTTGGATCGGCGTACAATATAGCCTGGCGATTGCCCAGTAAATATCGGGGCGAGGTTATAGCCGGCTCCGCGGCCCGTAAACCAAGACATTAAATTTTATAATATTGCGTCCCGTCTCGCTCCCGTCCCTCCTCGACAACCGACCCCTCTCACCGGCGCTCACCTCTGGCAACGGGGGTAGAGCGCGCGAGTTGGAGCGTGAGCGCGAGCGCGCACCGTGCTTTTATTGGCTATTTACAGAGGAAATGGCCTCTAAATTAACTGCAGACTGCCGGATTGTTACCTATATCGAGCGGCCTCGTATAACGCCTCGCTGCGCTCTCGCCCGTTAAGATCAAAATCGAAATGACAGAACGGCGACGATTAATTTTCCCGCGCAC